CTGATGGGACTGGTGCTAAGGCCTAAAAAAGTTTAATTATAAAGTTTCAAATATTATAAACGTCCCTTTAAAAAAGTGTTGTTCTTCCACATCCTTGGCCTGGCTGACCTGGTTACGTACACTCATGTCCTGGACTTATCAAGACCTGCAGCTTCAGGAGCAGCTGCTTTATTCTTATATACGTGTCTGTATTGGAGAGAAGCTTTGAATATTTGTAGCACTTTGCGACAGAAATGTTTTTGTTTGAAAACACACACACTCAGTCTGTTAGCATTAGCATCGCTAGCGTGTTAAGTTCAAAGCCCTCCAGCGCTGCTAGCGTGGCCCATTTCATATGACTGTGCAGCAGATCGACTGTGTGTCTTCTTAATCTTTACTCAACTTGTCGTGCAATTAAAAGTGAATTCACACACATCTGCAGGAATCAGAAAGAGAAAGCCGAGAGTGTGGAGGTAGGCGAGGATGAGGAGGGGCCTCCTTCGTCTTTCAGCGTTTTGTTTGTGTGATTCTCTGCTTCCCTGTCGTCTCCTACATGCCGATGTCAAAGCAGATATGACTGCCTGCTTGTGTAGGCAGCAGAGATGTGTGAAGGAGGCGGCGGGAGGAGAGGGGCCGCTGACAGGCGAACAATGATGGAGGGATGTGACGACGGGATAAGCGAACAGGGACACGTTTCTCTGCTGCAGATGAGGTTGTGTGTTTGTGTGCGTTTGAGGAGGACTGACAGCAGAGGCGAGCTGTAGGAGGCGAATCTGTCCTCGTCCACTTGTTTTACAGTCAGATGACATGTTGTGCTGCTGCTGTGTGCGAACGCAGACACACACTGAGAGCTGCAGAGACGCCGTGAGTTCGTTATGTGAGCTGAATCATCCCAAATTTATTGTTCAGCCTGTGAAGTTTAGTAGGTGTCAGATTTTAAAACGTTCAATCTGGACCTGTAAGTCTTTCCTGTGCTCGTGTTGCTGCTTTAGCCGATGCTCACATCATCTGGGTGATAGCTGCAGCTCAGGTACACACCGCTGGAATAATTTACTGTAAAAATA